ATGAAACACAGGGGCGGATCCCCAACTGGTGGTAGTCACCATTGCTTTTCCTGAAGCCCTGTGGAAAGGCCATGCTACCACAAGACAGAATGTGGCCATCTTATTTCATCTGACGTTGAGGTCTGCATTCCCTCCCTCAAGCATTTTCCAGAGCTCCCAATGTCTCAGGGACTTAAGACTCTTTTATGCTTTGGGAAGTGAATTCCTTCACTTTGGACAGATATGGTCAGCTATGAATGGCCCTGTATGCCCTGTGATATCACTGCCATGTTACCAAAAGGTCATGGAATGGTTGCACCACCATTAAAATGTACACACCCGAGACCACCTAGGACTTCTGGATGGCTGCAATGTTTCATAGATGTATCTCCCCAGTCATGGAAAACATTGCATGAGTCTGGATGCTGAGCAGACTCTACCATTCAGAAACAAGACCAGTGATGTGGATTTAGGACGGACTTCAAATCCAAACTGTGCCACAGTCTGCCTTCAGACCTGTTCACATAGATCTCACTGATTGCAGTGGTGAACATCTGAGGGAGCACCTTGACTCAGGATGTGCAGCAGTGAGTTTTACAGGCTCTGCACATAGGCACAGTTTGTTTCTGGATGCTGGGCATCAGGTGCAATGCTGGTGTAGACATTGCACGAAAAAGAGGAAAAAAGCTGAGCACAGTGAGGCACAAACTTGACAGGGCTTTAAAAAGCACAGAAGAGATGGAAGGCTGAACTGTCCACCAACAGATCTTGAATATCTATAAAACAGATCTTGAAAAAGGCCAAGGACCTTGCAGCTCCCATGTCAGAGAATCTGTGCTCATAGCACTCTGTACCACCCGAAAAAATCCTCACCATCGGGGCCGTTTTGTTATAGTGCAATTCTAAAATGGCCTGGCCTGGCTGTGAGCAAGAGGGGTGTGTTGACCTCCACGAGACCGTGATAGCTCTGCCTGTTGGGATCCCATCCGAGCACTGAAGCCTTCATAAGGACTGGGAGTCTCCTTCAGGCAGAACCCAGCCTTCAAAAAGCAAAATCCAAATGCAGCCAAACTTGCTACCAGTCCAAGAGAAGGTGAAGGTGTAGATTTGAAGATGGCTGAGTATTTTCCCTTTTTTACCATAACAGTATTGTGGTCAGAGTCTAACTTGAGTTGCATTTAAAGCCAGTGGAAACATGTGAGTGTAGCTCCAGAAAGAATTTAACACTAAGTAAATCATAATTATTTCTACCTTCTAAAACAGAATACAGGTTAATTAGTACTCCGATGTCTGAACCATCTGCAAAAGATTAGTTAACTAATGAGCCAAAATACATTTCAGCTTCTATGTGGGTACAAGGTGTTAACAAAGTAAATGCATTGCAGTTTCCCTCAGCACAGTATCAGCCATATGATTTTTGGGGCTGTGTGCTAAGTGTTATGTGTTAACTTTCCTAAGAAGTTTCATTTCAGTTAATTGTCTCTCTCTTCAGCTCATGGTGAGTACAAGAACAAGCTGTACTTCATCTTGAGTGTATTTTGATGAAAGACTGAGAGGTCTGAGGTCCTGGAAGGTGGGTTTTTAACATGGGACATTTTGTGTTTATTCACAGACCCTAAGAAAACCGATTTGTATGCTAATGTCAGTATGGCTGCTCTGAAGAACTTGCCCTTCCAGACCTCCTTCTCAAACCCCTCCCTATTCTTTGAATCCAAACTCATATGGGATTTCTTGTTTTTTCTTTCCTCTGTTTTGGATAATTTGGCTTTTTGCCCTCTTTTTGATCACTTGTCTAAGAGTGGAGAAGAACTCCTGACAAGTAAATGGATGGGTTTTGCAGCTGCATGACTATTTCATGTCAGACAGGATCACAATTTGAACTAGCTGTGTTGAAAAGTGTAATTTCTGCTCTCCCATCATTTCCCTTCTCAGACACACCTAAATGCAACTGAATTTTAACATTTGTAGGCCACAAGATACTCAAAGCCAGATTCACCTAGCTCTCCTAAATGCAGGAAAACCAGTCTAGCTACAAAAGGGACAGGTTGCAGCAAAAATCAAAATGCAGCCCATCTTCTAAAACACACCTGATCTAAGACAGGCCTGGCTTACAGGTACCTCCAAACCTGGCTCAGAGCTTTTACTCTGTGAATGACAGTGAGTGAAGATGAAGCCTGAATAGAGACAGGCTGACCATGCTATACAGATGCTTCATGAATGTCACCTTGCTCAGGGCAACCTCTCACGTGCAGGACCCCAAGGGGAAAACAGACACTACATGATGACTGTAGGGAACTGGTAAGATTAAAACAATTAAAACAACAGGAACAAAACATACATAATGGGACAAAAACTGACAGCAACTGTTCCAAAGAAACACCATTGGATGGAAAATCAAGCATTCCTCCTTTGCCATTAGGCCCACAAGAAATTTGTTCTACATGCAGCCAGGATGAAAAAGAGAAAACAGAAGGAAATGTTAGGAATTTTTGGAATCATGCCTAGCAGAGGGATGTTTGGAGCTGCAAAATTAAAATGAATGATGCAATTCTCTTTTTTGTTGTTTATTTTTCTTAGAAGTATGATAAATGGCTCCTTCACATGCCAACAATTACAAGACAGGTAGGATGTTCCTGTTTGCTTGTTTTTATAATATCAAAATTAGGATACAAGATTGATGTTTAAATAGATAAATAAATAGAATCAGCCCTGTTTCCTAATTTCCATATTTGCAAGACAGAAAACAAACACTGGAGAGAGTGCAACATCTTTTGGGATGCTTTGAGAAAGCATCTCAAAGCTGTGAGAATATATCCATCTTCATTTGGAGGACTCCAAGTCATTTCAGAGCCTGAACCACACTGGATGCAAGAATTGCCTTCTGGAGCATCTGCACTGCATTCATGAGCTTCTCTAAAGATACTGCTGATATGGGAAGTGCTGAACCTAATTTGAGCTGACTTATAAATGTAGTAATCAAAATCCTTGGCCTCATCCACTACCAGTTGATCACCTTCAATTCTTTGGGCTGGCTTTGGCTCAGGAGCTGTGTAATCAGACAAATCCATCAGCAAGTGCTCAGGTGGTTTCTAGTCATCCAGAGACCATGGATTAAATGTCTCTGCACTGGGTTATGTTAGCAAGCAAGGTCATACATACAAATTTGGTCAAAATATTTTGATTAAAATATGTTCAATAAATAAATAAACCAGTTGGAGCATCAATCAAATTACTTAAAGCTATGGCTTCTGAGGATTTACTAGTCACACTAAATCCTCACAACTCATATTCCTCACGATTGTAGCATGAGGAACTTGCACACCTGCTGCTAAAAGGAACCACACCTCTGATGTGACTCAGATCACCATCTCAGTTTGCAGATTCTGGTAATGCTGCTTGGAGCAGGTCAGTTTGCGTGATACGCTTTGCAGGGGGCCAGCTCACATCCAGGAGTACAGCCATGTGCAGTGCCCAAGCTCTGCCACTAACTCAGATCTGGGTCTGTACTTTTTAAGGGTTCTTCTTTTTTAAAGGAAGGTCTCTGAAGATATTTCACATGACAGTAGGCAAAGGCATGTGATATCTGGGCTCAGAAATGCAGGATTTGTGCTCCTTTGGTCTTGCCATAAATTTGGTGCTTGCCAGGATCTGAATTGACTCAGTGAGTGAAAATGCACACCTTTTGTAGGCATTTGCAAAGCTGGCTTCTCACCCCTCCCAAATAGCATTTCATTTTACAAAACATCAAAATGCTTTCCCCATGAGAACTCCCTCTGCAAGCATGGATCCAAGCCAGGGCAATACCATACTCTGCAAAGCTGTGCAGTTCACATGGCACAGGATGAGCGTCCCTTCTGGATAATGCTCTCTGAAACCAATGGTTACACCACAGCAGCCCCCCTGCCATCATCTGATACAGCAAACACATTCGTAGCAAGTGCATCAGCCAGGATCCAGTTTCCAAATGCAGGGCTTGAGTAATTAGATGCTCCCATTGCTGTTGGATTGGAGCCGGGCATTTTACTTCCCTGCACATCACGCTGAGTTTTCATATCCCTTTTCCTCCACCTCCCCCACCTCCTTGCCCCAAGCTTTTGTGATAAACATGGCAATGGAGATTGGACTGTGTGCATACATTGATTTGCTGGGTGGTTTGGCAAAAGAAAGCAAATCCAAGGCACTTACCTCAGTGCAGACCCCTTTGGTGTTGCAATGCCATAGCCTTTGGAGTCCAAGTTACCTCCCACCTTCATGGTATCACAAGGCTTCCGCTGCTCGATGTACTCGTTCATTGTGGACTCCAAGAGGTAGGCATACTTTCCTTTTGACTTCCTCACCCGGATCATCCCCTCTTCTGTCGTCCTCACAAAAACGGAGGGTTCGGCTGACTTCATGTATGTCCACATCTTCTCAAACACTGCTATTTTGGATCGCTGCGTAGGACAGCAGAAACCCAACAAAACCGTTAACAGAGGTTTGGGTGCCAGCTGAGATTTCCAACTTGGACTGAACATACCCACATATCGGATGGGCCAAGGAAGGCAAAAGGGGAAACAAGATGTTAATGAACCTCCTGCCATTTCTGAACCAGGGTCCAGATCAACCCCTGATTTCTGCCACATATTTCTGTATGACAAATAATTTTGCTGATCAAACTAAGGGCAAACCAAACTGGAAATCAGAAGATGGTTCCTTTTGGAGCTGCTCAGAGTAGATCCTCAGTAACGTGGGGAAGCACACAGATATTCCACGTTTGTGTTTACAGTTGCAGAATATCACATGTACTGGAGACATTGACAGCCTTCTGAGCAGCACAGGGAAAACTGGATTTTTGCTGTTCTGAGGACAAGCTCAGCATGTCCTAACACGGCAATGGACAGCAAGAGAAAGAACCAGACCTGAGCTGAGGATGAGAGAGGATGGGCCTGGAGGACTTGTCAAACAAGGGGCTAATCAAAATGTTTGCATTAAAGTTTCCTTTTTACCCTGAAAAATTCTTTAGTGGAGCCAGCTTCCAGGGTCCCATAGGCGATTTCTGTCTGCTTGGCCAAGTCCTCTGCGCTCTCGATGGGAGAAACCATTCTTTCCACGGTGAGAAAGGCAGCCAGGTTAGCTGTGTAGGAGGATATGATGATCAAGGTGAAGAACCACCAGACGCCACCAACTATGCGTCCGGAGAGAGACCTGGACACAGAGAAAAGGGTCAAACAGGAGGAGTGTGAAGGTCCGAAAGGTGCATCTGGCTCTTTTGGGCCCATCATTTACCTGGGCATTTACCCAAAGTCACGTTCTCCAGCCACTTCCAGGTGGCTGTCTCAGTTCTTAATATAACTCTTTTCAAGGTGTCAGTGTAATTAGAGGGGGGATAAAAAATTCACAGTGGAAAAAAATAGCAATAAACTGATTGAATTTGCCTTGTTTTTCATTCCTTTTATATAAAAATATTAATAATAAGACACGGAGACAACGATGTGGTAGGCTTAGCTGGGCAGGGCAATGCCTATCCAAACAGCAGCTCTAGCTAGGTCTGTGTTGTGTCATGGATCCCCAGCAGAATGGAGCACTAGCATGGAGCTAGACCAGATATAAAGACCAGTCAGGATCACTAGGTCAACTCCTCTATCACCTGAAGTTCAAAAAACAAAACTGGGTTTTTCTTTAAGATATATTGAAACTCAGAGAGGAGCTACAGCCTTAATGAATAATTTGCGTACTAACATTATCTGTTTTGTATTCAGCAGATGGTTAGACAAGATGTTCATAATAATGCCTTAAAATCTAGGTATTTTGCACATGCTGCAATCAAATATCCAATTATCTGTAACCATTGGGTAGCTATAGAGGCAAATAAGTCAAGCAGGCGTTAATTTATACTAAAAAAATTTCAAATAATTTTTAAGAGTGGAAGATAATTCTAGAGTGATGTCAGTATTCATGCACTCTGTCTAAATTATTTATATGCTCCTTCTCTAGATATTTGATAAAGCCAGACAGTCTGACTAAGGAGGACCTGTCCATGAGAAACACCGCTTATTTCTCCAAGGGGCACCATGTCTCAGTGTTGCCTTTCTGCTGACCTGAGTCACTCCACAGAAATATGGTTTATCGGATGGTAACAGAGACATCCCAGTCCAGCTTAGGGCAATGGACCAGCTCATGTACATGCTATGCTGCGTCCAGGTCTGCGTGAAGCCTTGGGTCCAGCTGCTATGGTTTACTGTTGTTCAACAGGACTTGACAAGCAAACCTGCATGCTCTGTTGCTCCATCAAGGTAAAAAACACACCCTGCTAATCACTGAAATTAGAGCTGGAAAGAGGCTAAACCTACATAGCCCACCAGCTGCACAACTTATTTATGTTATGCCCTTTCAGTTTGTCCAGTCTGGTTTTAAATGCTGCTGATGTGAGGGCAGCTGCTCCTGCAGACATCACGTCATCTCCCCATTTAGATCAACTCACTCTGAAACCTCTTTAGTCAAAACTCTTTGAGGTCACTTCCCAGAAGAAAGCGGGCACAGCGACTGAGATCACACACATGCAGCACGCAGGGCAGAGCAGAAAGTACAAGTTTTAATATGTGGAAATAAGACCCATCCCACCACATGTGCTGTCAGCCCTGCGCTCCTGAAGAATGATCACAGCAGCTTTCACCTGTGGCAGCGAAACTGCAGGAAACATGACTGCAAGGGATTGCAGTGACAGAAATGATAAGCACTGTATTCTACAGCTGTGACTGAAAGGACTTCTACGGTTAGAGACGGGACAGGCTTTCCCCTGCACAGGGACCTCATTTTGGAGCGGTATCTGCCCTCTCCTTTGGTTTCTTCTTCCACGGGCTTTTCTGAAACTGGACAGCCTCACCATTAAACCCAAGATCAGTGACTGACTTTGAAGGATCCACCTTTCAAGGTCTTTCAGGAAAGTCTACAGGACCCATCTCCAAGGTGATACTATAGTGAGTTCAGAATTTCTTTTCTTAATCATCCAGATCTTAAAAACCAAGAAAGCTAAAACAAAGATTTTCTCAGGTCTACACTCCACTGGCATGGCTCCCAACTGTAAGCTATATGCTAGTTACGCCATCTTGCAGTGCCTCATGCAAACCTCCTCCTTCGTTGGCAACTGCAGCAACATGGCTGAGCAGACCGACTGTCCCTCATCCCAAGATTACTTTCCATCACTGCCACCTGGAGACGGGGATCAGAGGTTTGTTGTGGGAGTGCTGGATGCTGTGGGAAAGCCAGGCAGGTGGGCACTGTTCTTCTACCCTATCTCTAACTCTTTAAGAGAGACGCAGTCACCAAACAACCTCTGGAGATGAGTAGGGACCTCCAGGGATGATTCACCCCATTTATCTCAGGTTAGGAGGAGGTCCTTCTGCAGACCTCTCTCTCTATTGAATTTTGAAGGAACTAGGATGACTAGGTTGGACCAAACAGCTAGTTTTTAAGTTAGGTGAGGTAAATGTGACCATCGTGCTTCCTATCTGCAGAGAATACTTGGCCTGCAGGACTGTCAGCGCAAATGACTTTACCTTTTGTTTCCTATTTGGAGAGGGATTGGGGAGGGAGGTATCTATGGATTCAGCTCACACATCTCCAGACTGATGGGGAAGAGGAAAAAAATACCTGTCTCTAATTAGTCTGGATGATGTGCGCTCAGGGAAGGAAGCGCTTAGAAAAGGCACAGAGGTATTAAACAAAAGTAACCAGATAATGTCAAATACAACAATTTCTGCTGATGAAGGCCACTTTGAGCTGGCAAAATCCATTTGCATGGCAAATAATCACATTCATCTCCAGCTGCAAATTATGCAGCCTTTCCTTCCTGACTAAGCTGGGATATTTCTGTGACTTGTTTCAATTCCTGCAGCAGCAGTCAGTCGGATTCCTGCCTCTAGACCCTTGACATCCTGGTGATATTCATTACTGGCTTATGCCATGGGGACTGCCTGCTGTCAGCTGCAGATGGCTTATGATTCCTGGCTCCGCACCTGGCACTGACAGCATGAAGAAGTAGCTATGGGGTATTGAGACTGGGAGGTAACAAGGAGGGCTGAGCAAAGAGGGAGAAGGGGCTGAAGCTTCTTTCCCACGGGAGCCAGATGGGACAAGATGCATGTCTGTATCATGCAGCAGTCTCATCTGGGCTGTGTTTGCTGCTGGTGCTGGTCATTTCTCCTCATGACCATGAGATGCTCCGAGGAGGTGAGCACTCACTCTCATAGACTGTGGAGGAAAGGGGTGGAGATAAACAGCTTGCTATGACTGCCAGCATGGCTAGGGCTTCATGTGTATGACGTTTTGTTGCAGACACTGCTAATGGGCAATGTTCGCCCTCATTGCTAGATTGACTTGGAGCTAGAAGCTGTGACTCTAAACTGCTCTAAACACACAGCAGAGAAAACACTCAGCATATGGGCTCTACAGGACATCATCCTTTTGCTCCATGGTTGCTCAGCATCTAACACAAGGCAGCACTGGCCAGTGATGAAGGCTCCTGGAGGCTACTGCAATACAATACAAAATATAATAATAGTCATCATGAAACATCACACAAGCAGATGCAATCCCATGTCACATGGACCTGCTTGAGTGGGTCCAGAGGAAGGCCACGAAGATGATCAGGGGCTGGAGCACCTCCCCTGTGAGGACAGGCTGAGAGAGTTGGGGGTGTTGAGCCTGGAGAAGAGAAGGCTCCGAGGAGACCTTATAGCAGCCTTCTAGTGCTTAAAGGGGGCCTGCAGGAAAGGTGAGGAGGGACTCTTGATCAGGGACAGTAGTGATAGGATGAGGGGTAACAGTTTCAAACTGAAAGAGGGGAGATTTAGATTAGATATTAGGAAGAAATTCTTCACTTTGAGGGTGCTGAGGCACTGGAACAGGTTGCCCAGAGAAGTTGTGGATGCTCCATCCCTGGAAGTGTTTCAAGGCCAGGTTGGATGGGGCTTGGAGCAACCTGGTCTAGCGGAAGGTGTCCTTGCCCACGGCCAGGGGGTTGGAACTGGATGATCTCTAAGGTCCCTTCCAACCCAAACCATTCTGTGATTCTGTGATCCCCACAGCTCAATAGCAGTGAACATAGGTTAAAGAGGAGAAGTTGGATTTCTCTGAATAATCATACTGCCTTTTTAGATTTTGAGCCAACGTCTGTTACTGCTTACCACTACAAATGGTTGGAAAGACAATATCCATTATGATCTTGTTCTGTTATTTGTGTAGAGCAAGCTGGAGAACAGCAGTGCTACCATCATGGGACACATTTGCAAAAGTGCCTTTGTAATTTAGGAGATAATGTCCCATTTCTAGATGTGACTTCAATACTAGGGAGCTAAAAGCCTGGTCAAAAGCCAATGGGACTTAGAGTTATGTTTATGCTCTAGTAAGAGCAGTCACAGAGGAGTAGATATACCCTGTACTTTTAAGTCACTTTGAGGTTTTGAAAATCTCACTCCACAGCTAGATAACAGAAAATGACCTTCCACTTGACTAACAAATATTCTGCAGCTTGAGACCTAGCTCAAGTTCATTCTCTTCACTAATGGGCAATATGGGGTTTAAATCCTCTTACATGGAGAATTTACATGTCCCCATACACATTCAAGTATAACATGAGGGCAATCAGCTCTCTGCTATGTGGAAACGAGTTAGTGACTCAGTCCCCTGCAGAGCTAAGGTGAGATGGAGCGCACTGGTCAGTATTTTAAAGATATGCTAATGTTCCAATGTCTGGATTTGTCTATTTGACCTGTGAATTTATTCACATTCGTTATAGTAATACTTGCGAATAGCAGGATCTAAAAAATATCAGAGTAAAATAAGCAAGGATAACTGTGAAAGAAGCTTTAATGAATGGCTAATTCTGGGATGCAGAAAGGGATGAAATAGATAGGTTGTACATTTATCAACCTATATTATTCCTTCTGCACCTACACTCTTCTTTTCTACACAATCCAAATTAAGATCTCTTGGTTTCTTCTTCTAGCCCTGCCTGTGCTGGCTAAAATCACACTCCACTCCC